ACCAATGTGTTCTTTACTTTAAGTTTTAAAAACCCCAATTCACCCCCCCTTCTTGTGTTTTTCCATTCTTCACCCATATCTTTTTGGGTCCTTGTTTGTTAGACTTTCCAGAATTTTGATTGAATTTTCGTTTATAATAGTTCACAGAATAAGATTCACACGTTTGGTTATCCTGGTTCGTTTGAACTCAAACTACTCAAGTCCACCCGCCAAGGTGATTTTTCCTCTCTCAATCGAGGTCTTAATCCACTAATCAAAACTTTGATTACAGCTCACGAAGATAACTATTCAACATCTTTTTGATATCAAACCACAACTTGGGTTCTCAGTGAATTATAACTCACAAAGACTACCGTCAATGTCTTCTTGAAACTAAACCATAACTTGGTTTCTCAAGGAATTACAACTTTTCTAACAGAAATAATGTGTTTAACAAATGCTTCTAATAATCATGCTGTCAATTGTACCTTAGTAACTTTGATCCCAAAGAGTTATGATGCCAAGACCATGAAAGACCTTAGGCCTATTGCATGCTGCACCACTACCTACAAGATTTATCAAAAAAATTGATATCCAGGTTGAGTAAAGTAATTTCTGACATTGTAGATGACACGTAAGCTGCTTTTATCCCTGGCAGGGTGATCCATGACAACATCATGATAGCTCATGAAATTTTGAGGGGTTACAATTGTAAGCATATAACTCCAAGATGTGCTATTTAGACGGACCTTCAGAAGGCCTATGATACTATTGAATGGGGAGCTCTGGAAACTATCATGAGGGAGATGAGCTTTCCCCCGAGGTACATTGAATGCATTTTAATCTGTATCTCCACTGTGTCTTATCAATACAACATTCAGGGGCAGAAAAGTGGGATTGTGAAAGCTAGGAAAGGGATTAGGAAAGGGGACCCAATCTCCCCTCTCTTATTTTTCCGCATTATGGAGTATCTTCACAGATGTTTGAAGAAGGTGCATCACCAGTCTAACTTCTGATTCCATCCCAAATGCGCAAAGCTGGATATTATTGACATTTCATTTGCACACGATCTTATCCTCTTTAGTAGAGGTGATGCTGCATTTGTTCAGACTGTGATGGACTGCTTTAATAGCTTCTCTGATGCAACAGGTCTTAAGGTAAACCCTATGAAGTTTAAAATGTATTTTAGTGGAATTCTGGCTCAGGAGCAGTAGAAGATCATTGCTGCTACTGGTTTTTCTGTTGGTAACATCCCTTTCAGGTATCTGGGAGTGCCTCTTTCCAGTAGAAGGTTAAATATTATTCATTGTCAACCGTTGATTGAGAGAATTGTTATAAGGGTCCAACACTGGACAACCAAACTGCTGAGTTATGCAGGGAGGTGTCAACTCATCAGAAGTGTGTTATTTTCCATTACAGCCTACTGGATGTAAGTCTTTCCGCTGCCTAAGAAAGCCATTCAGCACATTTAAGGGATTTGCAGGAACTTTCTTTGGAGTGGTAAAGAAGAGAGATGCTATAAGACACATGTGGCGTGGGAAAAAATCTGCGAGCCTAAGAATACTGGAGGCCTTAACATTGTTGACTTAAAGTACTGGAATACTGCCACCATCGCGAAGCTCCTATGAAATATTCAAGCCAAAGTTGATAAACTTTGGGTTAGGTGGGTGAATACTTATAATCTTAAGAATTAGGATGTTATGCAATGGCCGGCCCCGCAGAACTATTCATGGATACTGAAACGAATTGTGAAGACCAGAGAACATGTGATGCGGATGAGTTACTGGGTGACTGTTGTGCACACAAACACATTCAATACCTCTAGAATGTATCAAAGTTTGAAAGGGGATTCTAATCATGTGACTTGGAAGAAACTCTTATTCTCTAACTACACAAGGCCTCGAGCAGTCTTCAGCCCGTGGCTTGCTATTAGAGGGAGACTCCCTATGAAGGACAGACTAATCCAGTTTGGGCTGAACGTGGATACTAGTTGCGTGTTTTGTAACGAAAATGAAGATCTGACTCACTTACTGTTTGAGTGCAGGAAAACCAGAGACATTTGGCAGCATATTCTCAACTGGACTGGATTCTACAGGTCCCCATCCAATTGGAATATTGAGATGAACTGGATAATCAACGAGACGAGGAAAAAGGTTGGCGTAGATGCATTCTCAAAGTTGCAGTTGCTGAAACTGTTTACTCCGTTTGGAGGATGCACAATGATTTAATCTTCAACCAACAGGTTCAGGATGACAATATCAAAGATAGGATTATAGAAATTATTGGTTTGAGATGTATAGCATATAAATCTTTGGCTAACCACATAATAGGAAACTTCTCTCTATTCAATAATTATGGTTAGCTTGACAGTTTTGTTTAGTGTCCTTCCTCCCTGAATCTGTTGAATCGGTTTGTAATTAACTGTTTTTAAAATATAAAAGTTATCTTTGCTCCAAAAAAAAAAAAAAAGAAAAACAAACCGGTTTTAAATTTTATTTTTGTTATGATGACTTTTTTTAGTTAGATGTAAACTAATGAATGTTTTTTTTTTTTGTATATCAAAAATAATTTATACTTTAAACTAAAATAAATAATCAAATAATCAAATTTTGATTTTGCGGTATAAGTAATTCAGTTATTTGATTATACTCAAAAATATTATAAATTAAAAGTTAATTCACAACAAATATGGAATTGTGTATATATTAAGCAAAAAATAAATTCATCCAAAGATAAATTGTCAGATGAAAAAATAATTTTGTAATATTAAATTAATATACAAAATTAATTGAGAAAATAAATGAAATTTATAAAATACAATATTGTATACTTGTGTGTTATAACGTTGAGAGAAAATTTAATGGATAAAGAATTAGTATGTTGATGAAGATAGAAATACATTAAAATTAAATAGATAAAAAATATGTAAAAATTAAGGTTAAATTTCTAAGTAACAGTAAGATACACATAGTTGTATCTTATACAAGTTATTAAGCATCGCAAGTCATATCTAAAGAATATTTGATTTGGCAGAATTGGATAGAATGTCAAATTATGTTCACACAAAAATTATAATATATAATATTGTATACATTTGTGTTATAATACTTGAAATGAGGGAAAGTTTAATGGTTAAAAATTTGTTCCTAGATGAAGATAGACATACATCAAAATCAAATCAATACAATAGATGAAAAACATGCAAGAAATTAAAGTTAAACAACAGGCAAATATTAATATACTTCATCTGTCTTGAAATAATTGTTTTTCTAGCTTTAAAAAATTGTCTCAAAATAATCGTTTATTTACTTTTCCAATATAATTATAATTAATTTTTACCAATTTTATCTCTTGTATATGCTCTTTTTAAGTATGACAATATCTTACAACCAATAATAATAAAGAGTAATTTTGTAAAAATGTTACTTTTATTGCCTCAATTATTAGTTTTTTTAATCTTCGTGTAACAATTTTAAACGACTATTATTTTAAGACGGAGAGAGTACATAGTCATATCCAATAAATTTTGATTTGACAATAGGATTTAAATATATTGTCAAAATATGTTTAGAGTTAGAGGAATGTAATCGTATAGTATTGATAGAGCAAAGAAGAAAGAGATGATTTATAATTTGGAATCATCTATTACTTATTGGAAGAAGAAAAAGAATGGAGTTTGAGTTGATGGGTTAGATGAATTTCAAGAATTGATAGAATAGAATGACACATCACATTATAATTTAGTCGACAAAGATATATATAGGTGGCAAAACAAAGGTGAAATTGTAATATAATTGTCTTTGACTCTGTTTTAATATATTATTAGTAATTTTACTAAATAAAAAAATTAATTATCACATAATTCTCTAACTTTTTTCAAATTCATTTCACTCATTATCAATTATACCCAAATATTAAACTCTCATTTTTGTCGTCGATAAGATTAAGAATTTAATTGAAATACGTTGATAGTGTAAAGAAGTTTTACACGGTTAATAAATCATAATTATTAATTTATTTGAAAAATTTGATTTTAATTTTAATTTTTTTTAAAGTATTACATTTTAATGGTTATAATGTATTGTTGATGTAAAAAAATTTATAATGAAAGTAAATAGTAATTAAATTCTAGGATTAATCATAATAAAAAATGAGACAGCCCAATCTTTTTCTCACGAATTGCTTAAATGTAGAAATCAAATACAATTTCATTTCTCTATAAAGACATCTTACCAATTTAACCAATATAGGGAATCAAAGAAAGGATAAATTAACTAATTTAATAAGAAGAGTAATCAAAATGTTTCTGATATATATAATCAATCATACGAGTGTTTTTTAAATTAATATATATATATATATATATATATATATATATATATATATATATATATATATATATATATATATATATATATATATATATATATATATATATATATATATATATATATATATATATATATATATATATATATATATATATATATATATATATATATATATATATATATATATATATATATATATATATATATATATATATATATATATATATATATATATATATATATATATATATATATATATATATATATATATATATATATATATATATATATATATATATATGCAATTTTTAAAAAAAAATCAAACTAAAAAATATTATATGGTAATGAAGTTGCGTTTCTACACATTATGTTTTTGAATAAAGGAAAATTTTTAAGTAGACACAATATAAGAAGTAATTTTATACACAATCAATCATAAGTTTTTAATTAATTAAAAAATAAATATAATATTTTTTTTCTCCTTTATACTCAAAAACCACACAATTCAATTAAAAAAAATTTAAATTTTTAAGAATATTGAAATAAGATTGCTTTCATATAAAAATTCCTATTGGATATTATTGACTCAAACGTGTAACTCACAGTTGAAAAGACTCAAGTAAAACACAAAATAGCACAGTATATATAGTACAAGTTCTTGGAAAACTTTGAGTGCATCATTACTTTGAAATGGAACTTCCATTATCTTGTATCGAACGTAGAGTTCAAAAGATAAAGAAAAACATATTCTCATCGAATTTTGATATCTATTCTTTTGTATGTTTTTCTAGTTACGACACTGCATGGTTAGCAATGATTCCTGATTCAAAATATCCTTCACAACCTATGTTCAAGAATTATTTAGAATGGTTAATCAAGAATCAAAAAGCAGAAGGGTTTTGGGGAGAGAGTGACACCATTGAATGCCTTCCAGCAACTATTGTTTCAATGGTTGCACTTACAAAGTGGAACACTGGCACATTAATGATAGAGAAAGGTAAATATCTGTCGGCTTTTCGTTTCAACATTTTATTGTTAGGACAAGTATTGTTTGTTTTTTGGCATGAAAGACAAATTTCTAACAAAGTTTAGTTGGATTAATTTCATTATGATTTGTGTGGACAAATTCACATCATATTGATACTAAACATAACCTTTTTTAATGAACTCTTGACTATCACTTTACATGTATTTAACCTAACTAATACAATTTAAATTTTATTTAATTAAAAGGAACTTACATAATGAATAGGTTTCATAGTTTGGATGACTTTTATTTTATAGTATGTATGTTAGTTAAATACATTTTTTTCAAAAATTAAATTGAACAGTGGTTAACGGTGATCAACAGAGTCATTAGTGAAGATAATAGTAGTCGTTGGCAGTAAATAAAATGGTAGTTGGTGGTGGTTATAGTGGTGGTTCACTACAAGAAAAGGCTTGATTAGTTAGGGGATTTAGTGAGGTGATAAACCCCTCACTAAATTTTGATATTGTTTGGGGTAAATTCCCTCGCAAATGACAAAATCGAAAGGAAAAAGAAAATTTAATGGGGATGGACTACCCCTGACAAATAAAATAGGAGGGATTTTTGAATTTTAAAAATTTTATCGCTTTACATTTTGCGAGGGACTATCCCTCACAAAATATAACTAACATTTTGTCGGGGGCTATCCCTCATTAATTATCCTATTTAAAAAAATCTCTACTTTCTCAGATTCTCTTCTTCTCTTTCTTTTCTCTCTTTCTTTCTTCTCTTTCTTTCTCTCATATTCCCACCTTCTTTTACATTCATCTCTCATTTTTATTAATTATTAAAGGTATTGTTCTTTTAAATTATATTTTATATAATACTTAATTTATGTTTTTTTCTTTCTATATTTAGTTTTGGTTTTATGTTTTTAGATATATTTTTATCATTGAAGACAATCAAAGAATTTAAATCTAAATTTTGTGTTCATCAAATGTATATATTTTTTTGTTTAATTTTTCTTAAATCTATTTATATAGTTGTAAATGGGTGTTGTTTGTTATTATAGTTGTAAATGAGTGATGTTTGTTATTATTTGTTATTATAATGATTATGAGTGATGTTTGCATAAATATTTCTTGATTAAAAATTATTTATTTATAATGATAAGTATGTTAGAAATTAGTTAAAAATATTTATAAAAAACAGTAGTATGTAAAATAATTTTTTTAGTTATAATACTTCAAAAAATAGTAAGGCAACAAATATATTATCATGAAAACATTATTGATATTTTAGAAAAATAATATAATGAAATGGTTTTAATTATATTAATTATAGTTATAATATTTTTTTCTGTTAATGTTAATATATTTTTATTCTATTAATATTTTTATTTTATTTTTATAATTTTTTTTACATTTTATCAGGGACTTAACCCCTAACTAATTGAAAACACTTGTATTTTGCGAGGCATTAGCCCCAAGTAAAATGTCTAAAAATTTTGATTGCATTTTGCGAGGAGGTTAACCCCAAGCAAAATTCCGACGTGAAAAGTCCCTCGCAAATAATTTTTTACCATTTCTGAGGAGATTATCTCCTGACTGATTTTATTTTTTCTTATAGTGATTAAAAATAACAAGAGTCGTGATTGGCAGTTGACAGATTAAAAATTATCAATGGAGAAAACTGTGATAAAAGGTAATTAGAGGAGGTGGTCGATAGCCATAAGATGAGTAGTCTGCCAATCATTGGTGGTCGTGTTTGGGTTTTGAAACATAAACAAGTTTTTATTATTTTTGAAATTTAATCAAAACTGTTTTAAAGTTAAATAAAAATATCAATACTATTTTTGTTGAACATGTTTTTTATTTTGAAAATAATATTTAAAACAAAAAAAATATCAAAACCTCACATCCATCCGAAAACCATTCTATTTTTAAAAAGTTTAAAAAGTTTGGTCACAAACACGATTCGAGTTGGACAAAAAAACACATTTTTTTTGTTTCAAATTATTAGAAAAAAATAAATTTTTATCTTTTCAAAATAAAATTAATAAGTTTAAAGATAGTACACTATTAATATAAAATAATTTTATACATAATCAATCCGAATTTTATATTTATCATGTTATTTCAGTATTTAAAAAAATTTTTATTATAGTACATATCTCTCATTATTTAACACTTTAACAATATTTTACACTGTGTGCGTTTTCTTTTTTCTTTAAATAGACATTAAATATTAAAAAAAATACCACTTCTATTTTCCCACTTATTCAATGTAACATTGATGAAAAGTGTATGAACAAACACCTTTTAGAGGGACACACCACTTCTCCACCTAAAATTTTAAGGAGATAGGTGAGTGAATTCTCCCACTTTTATATATATATATATATATATATATATATATATATATATATATATATATATATATATATATATATATATATATATGCTTAAGTCTCCAGATTTCTATCCAATGTGAGACTATTTTCTCACTTACTCACACTTGCAATATTATTCCAACAATTATAACATGTGTAACATGATATTATTTTAATAAATGATATTATAATAAAATTTGGACTATTTTTGGGTTATTAATAGTCCTATCAATAATTTGAAATTTGTAGGACGTTTATTTATAGATGCAAATATTGATAAGCTGCTAAATGAAGTGAAAGAAGATTGTCCTCGGTGGCTAGCTATTGTTCTCCCATCAATGATTGAACTTGCTGATCTAGTTGGTTTACATTTCCTCTTCCCACAGTCATCAAGGGACACCATTTCATTTATTATTAACCGTCGCAAATGCTTTCTTAACAAGTACTACACACTTTTTCATTTCATCCTATCATGTCCTATATGTATAAATATTTGTTGTAAATTTTTTATCTTTGCATGAATATGTAGGGAAAAAGTTGATCGGAATTTTCATAGTTACCCTCCATTACTGTCATATCTTGAAGCTCTGCCTCCAACATATATTAATGAAAAAGATATATGTAAAAATTTGAGTGAAGATGGTTCGTTGTTTCAATCTCCCTCGGCCACCGCAAAAGCATTCATGGATTATGGAAACAAAAAATGCCTAGCATATTTACGCTCCTTGTCTCAAAGATGTCCAAAAGCAGTTCCACAATCATATCCAATGGATGAGGACCATATAAAGCTATGCATTACTAACCAATTACATAGGTTTGGATTGGCACAGTACTTTGTAAGAGAGATTGAAGTGCTTTTGACACAAGTTTATAGGTAAACAAAACCCATTTTAACAGTTTCTATAGTATAATTACAACTTTTTTTTGGATTGAATTACTATTGTGTATGTATTAATTTTTATTTCATTTGACAGGAAATATAACAAGGAGAAAGATTCACGGGTGAAAGCATCGAATATGAGTGCTTTGCAGCTTCAGAAAGATGCTCTAGCGTTTGAGTTCTTACGGACACATGGATTCAAAGTATCACCATGTATGATAGTTATTGGTTTTGGAAACAACATGTACATATTTGACTGTCTAAAGTTTATGTTTTATAATATTTGCAGTATACTTTTGTTGGTTTCTAAATCATGAAGAACTTAAAGCTGAGATTGAGAGAGATTACGAGCACTTCTCGAATGCAATGCTTCACGTCTTCAGAGCCTCGAACTTAATGTTCTGTGGAGAATATGAACTCGAGGAAGCTAGAACTTTTTCTAGGAAAATACTTGAGAAAACAGTTTCAACAGGAAAAGGAGGCTTATTTCAACGGATAGAGCACGAGTTGAGTTTTCCATGGTTTGCTCGGTTGGATCATTTAGAGCATAGAGGGTGGATACAAGAAACTGAAGCTAATGTTTTATGGAAAGGAAACACATCATACAACAGGTACACACATGATGTATATATATATATATATATATATATATGAATGCAAGATATTCAGACCGGATTCAATCTAAATCCGTTGGACATATTACAAACGCCTTCTACTTATTTATTCTCATTTTGATCAACAAGGATGAATTGCTACAGCTTGCAACTCTAAACTTTATTTGTAGGGTATCAGGTCTTTATAACGATGAATTGCTACAACTTGCAACTCTAAACTTTGAGTTTAAGCAATTGATATACAAAAATGAGCTTACGGAGATTAAGAGGTATAGTTCAATTTCTATTCTTTAGTTTTACCTGAAACTTAGTCATAAGAATCTTAGTAGAATACATTTGATTTTGAAATGTAGGTGGGTTGAAAAGTGTGGTATGAGTAATATGGGATTTGGCAGAGAAAAAAGCACTTATTGTTACTTTGCTGTTGCTGCTAGTATAACATCACTCCCTCATGATTCTTACGTACGAATACTCGTAGCTAAAACTGCAATTATAATCACAGTTGCTGATGATTTCTTTGACACTGTTGGTTCTCTCAATGAACTAGAAATCCTCACAGAAGCAGTTCAAAGGTACATAATCAAAATTTGTTTCAAAGAATTTCTTTCATACTCATGATATATGTATTTTGTGTAAATATTAGATGGGATTCAAGAGGCCTAAGCAGCCACAGCAAAGTTATATTTGATGCACTTGATGGTCTTGTGAGTGAAGCTTCTAGAAAATATCTCCAACAAGAAGGAACTTCTGATGATATCTCAAGCAACTTTAAAGATCTAGTATGTGTTACAAAACTTCTATAATTTACAAAATATTATAATTATCAACTTTGTGACATGTATTTCATTTGTGAAGTGGTACGAGACTTTCCTGTCATGGCTCATAGAAGCAAACTGGAGCAGAAATGGACACAAACCATCTATTGATTGTTACCTCGAAACAGGCATGACTTCAGTTGGTGCATCTCTCATGGTGCTTTCATCTTCATGTTTTGTGAAACCAACCAAGAAACTTAGGCTAACACCATATGAACCATTAACGAAACTATTAATGGTCATTTCTCGTTTATTAAATGATGTCGAGAGTTATCAGGTAAATTAGTTAAGTTAATAAGAAGAAAAAAACACACACTTTGTATTAAGCTTTATTGAGGCTTTGATGCCTAAATTTTTACTTGTTCACATAATCAGTCTCCCTTTAAAATCTAGTTAAAACCTTAATTTCATGTGATTATGCAGAGGGAAAAGGAAGAAGGGAAACTGAATTATGTTTTGGTCAAGATGATGGAGAATCCTGAATTTGAAATAGAAGATTCAATTGGTTTTGTGAGAGAAATAGTTGAGAAAAAGAAGAAAGAGTTTCTTGAACTTGTTCTAATTGATGGATCAAGTGATTTTTCTAAGCCTAGCAAACAACTTCATCTATCATGCTTGAAAGTTTTTCAGATGTTTTTCAACTCTAGAAACAGTTTTGACTCAAATACAGATTTGGTGGAAGATATAAACAAAGCTATATATCTTCCTTTAAAGTGTGTCTCACCTAAAACATTCCCAAAGAAACATATTATCGGAAAACATCATATCTGTTTCCCATTCAAACATAATAGTAGGACAAATTTCACCAGAATGAGGTTGACGACACCTAAAGTTGGGCTTGGATTCATTTAAATCAAATAAAAGGAGAGGGAATGTTACAGATAAATATGAAAATTTTATACTAGTTGTATTCATCTATAGCTATATCAATAAATGTTGTATGTTTGTTTTGCATAATGTAATTGTGAGCAGAAATTGATCTGTTTCAAATGTTGGGCACCTAGAACGGCCATATAATACAAGTTTGATTTTTTAAAAAATAAAATTTATTGATTTTGAAATATAAACCATCTGATTTTGATCAAACAATCACAAATCCATGATTGCGTGAATGTGTCCCCACATTAACTCCTTGAATTGCAACAATCTACTAACTTAAGTCATCCTCAAATAAACCAATTTTAATATTATTGTCCTTGAATATCACCTCCAATCTCATCACTTAAGAACATGGAATCCAATACTCCAGTTTTGGCTCCCATCATTTCTATCCGATCGACTAGATCCCTCAACTCTAGAGGTAAGCTATTCTTTGAGAACTATTGAAAAGAAATTTGTGTATAATGTTGTGCATAAAAAAAATCATATAGGATGTATGTTATATGCATATGGGTTGATTACAATAGTTATTGTATTGATTACAATTTATACGAGATTAAAGTTAATTACTGCTAATTTATCTTAGAGTTAAATATGTTTTTTTTTCTCTAAATATTTCAGTATACGGTTTTAGTCTCTATAAATTTTTTTTTTAAAGAATGGTACTCTAAAATTTTTCATCCACACCTTTAGTCCTTCTTGCTAACGTCCGTTAACAGAGTTGATGTGACACTAACGCGTGACAATTTTGTTGGCATGGATGCCATGTGACATTTTGTCTCCCTTTTATATTATTTATATAAATTAATTTATAGCGACGAAAATTATGTCGCTAAGTCAGTCACTAACATGAACTTCAAACTGAAACCTAGAAACCCTAGCTAATCCGCAACTAATCCCTAGCTAATTCAAACACATCATTCTTATGAGTTAGACTTCAATTTTTTTCATGAAATTTCATCACATTATAAGGATATCTCACAAAATTTTATTTTTTTATAACTAGAGATGAATTAAATATGAATTTTTTACGGGTAAATTTTCTATAAAACGGAAACAAGAAAAACGATAGCATATAATTTAGTTTTAAGCTAATATTTTGTAGGGACTTATCCCATAACATGTATAAAGTATCTGCAAGTTTTCATGGAATTTTGAATAAGTCTCAATTTATTTTGATTTTTTGATGGGAGTAAATTTTAAATCTAGACAAGCTCATTTAAGGTTACTGCCATAACATGATATTCAGCTTCAGCACTAGATAATGCAAATGTATTTTGTTTCTTGTTTATCCATGAGATCGTATTACCTCCAATAAGATCCTGAAGTGGATCTCGTATTCGACTGTGATTTGACTCAGTCTACATCTGGATAACAAATACTTTTAGCGTCGCCCGTATCTTCATATAATAGTCCTCTTCTTAGTGCATTCTTTATATATCTAAGAATTCGAATGACTGTATCCCAATGACTATCTCAAGGAGCGTTCAGAAACTGGCTCACAATGCTCACTGCAAATGTAATATATGGTCTGGTGATTGTAAGATAGTTGAGTCTACCCATAAGCCGTCAATATCTTTTCGGGACTTCAATGGCTCCCCGTGGCCTTGAAGAAGATTTACACGTTGGGATCCATCAGAGTATCAATAGGACGGAAATCAAGCATACCAGTTTCACTTAGGATGTCTAATGCATACTTGTGTTGGTTGATTGCAATGCTTGATGAGGATTGTGCAACTCCAATGCTTAAGAAGTATCTAAGTGGATCCAAGTATTTTGTCTTAAAATATTTGAAAAAATTAGTTTTCAGACTCCGAGTACCCTCTATGTCGTCTCCAATGATAACAATGTCATTAACATAAACTTCAAGGAAGATTTGTCGACTGGTGGAAGAGTGAAGGAAGAAAATAGAGTGATATGCTTCACATCTAGTCTTTACTAAATTGTATCACGGTAGAGTTAAAGAAACCAAACCAAACACGTGGAGACTATTTCAGCCCATAAAGAGAACGTTGAAGTCGACAAATAAGTCTAAAATTTTCAAGAACAATGAAACCTAGAGGCTGATCCATATAAACTTCCTCCTCCGATTCTCCTGTAAAATGACATTTTTAATATCCAAATGATGATGTGGGCAATGATGAATGGCATCAATTGCAAGAAAAAATGGATTGAACTGATCTTGGTCACCGGAGAAAAAGTGTCACCATAATCATGACCAAATGTTTGTTTGTATCCTTTAGCTACCAAACAGGCTTTGAAACGATCGATATGGCCATCTGGTCCAACTTTCACTGTATAAACTCATTGACATCCCACTTTAGTTTTGTCTGGAGTTAAAGTAACAATGTCCCTAAGTGTTATCTGAATGCAATTCAACCATTTCTTCCACCATCGAATGACGCCAATTGTGATCAATCATAGTTTCACTTGTAGGCTTAGGAATATACATATAATCTAGAGTTAAAACAAAAGAGATATAGGAAGTAGATAAATGATAATAATTTAAAACACAAGCATATTTAGGATTAGTGTGATAAGATCAAATACCTTTTCGTAATGCTATTGGAAGTCAAGTCTAGGTGACGTAACTAGAGGCGAAGATGGAGCAAGAGATGATGTTGGTGGGTCAATATCATCTCTTACCTTTTATGCATGGGGTTTCCTTCACTAGCAGACCTGCAATAGAGGTGTATTGACTGCAATGGGTGTGAGGATGATGGAAGGAATATCTCGGACATTTGAAATACAATTCTCATCAGGTGATGCAAAGGCAAAGAAGAATGAGGAAGTTTCAAAGAATATGACATCATAGGAAACAATGTATCCTTGAATTTGGGGACAAAAACAATAACATCCTTTTTGTATACATGTGTATCCTATAAAAATACATTTGAGAAATTTGGCAGAAAGTTTGTATTTACCTGGACTGAGGTTATGAACAAAGCATGTGCAACAAAACACGCAGAGAGGAATGGGGTAAAGATCATATTGCAGGTTCAAGATAGAGTATGGAATTTGATCTTGAAGGACTGATGAAGGAATTCGATTGATAAGGTGACAAGTTGTGAGAAGAGCATCACCCTAAAAATGAGAGACCTTAGTGGCTAGACACTTACCTGAGAGGTTTTTGCGCCAATTTGGATATGTCTAGGATATCCCATAACTAGTCCCTACTATTTCATCTGAAGGCATTGATGGTTAGGTTGTTGGTCACATTGTGGGTTTTGTACATGCCATTAGAGATCATGCAGTGAATGTTCAATTCCATGTGGAGTGTGCTTATGGGTAATTGGAGTGGTACCTTATTGTATCTCACCCTCTCATTATCCCACTTAGGCAACATGGAGATGATGATGGACCTTCTCATGTTGGATCTTCTCATGCTTATGCTGGGGTACCTTCTAATGGAGTGTCTCCGGCTCCACATAGCGCAAATGATACTCATCACTTGCAGATGATAGTAGTTATTATAGATAACCTCATGGGTTTGGTGAACCTAGATAATAAGGTTTATACTTTGGCATTGCAGGCAGCACACATATCACATGAGGGACCTATGTAGCCATATTATTATTTTTGAATTATTTGTATATTATGTGTATTATTACATAGACATATATTATATAACATTTTGGTGCTTCCATTGATGTATGATGAACATAATTTAATATTTCACTAAAGCTTGCATAACTTAGACAAACAATTACATAACTTAACAAAATAATACTAAACAAGAAAATATAAACACTACCAAATGATTATGCATGTTTCAACATCTTGATTATGTCATTGAAAGATTTAAAAATTGTAGAATCAAACTCGATCGGTCCCTTAATTATCCTACAGTGATATGTTCTCCACATAACTTTCAAATCTTCATCGGACTTCTATTCAATAAGGTCGTATTTCACCTTTCCATCAGTATCAATCCAATCTGCACAAAATTCAATCTTACTCACCATTTTGTTCTGGTGTCGGGCAACATATCATTCAACTTGGATCTTAGAATGGTGAGACATGTGATTCCTTCTGGATCCGAAATTCTACAAGAAGTTTTACCCTGTAGAATACACTTATGCATTGAACAAAGACTGAGACATTATAGGATGTTTTTCTTAACAACACATAACTCATATTTATATAATTTTGGATTCATTGTGGACTACAAAAAACGGTCGATGCAAATCACAACTGTAGAAAACTGTCGACAAAATCTCGATCATTCAATTAAAACTATCAGGTTTTTCGCTGATCCACAAAAAAATCAGAAAAGTAACGAATATTTTAAAAAATTTCGTACTTTTTAAACTATCAGAATTTTCAAATGTAATAAAAGAATCTGATAAAGATAAGTACTTTTAAAAAAACAGGTTTGCCCCACAATATTATGGCTTTTTGAAATATCTGATACATCGAATATTATAAATGTTAGAACATACACAAAATGAAGTTGGTAAATTAATGGTGAAAAGTGGTTAATTGGAAAAAATGAAGTTTAGAGAGAAAAATAGAGATTATTAGAGAGAGAGAGAGAGAGAGAGAGAGAGAGAGAGAGAGAGAGAGAGAGAGAGAAATTAAAGAGAAACTCATAAAATGGAATTAACTAAAAAATCACATTACATGAGGATTTATATAGGATACACTTAAACATCCTTGGAACCAACACAAGCCCAACAAAACAGCAAAAACACCAAACTGTCGCGCTGGAAACCGGTTTTCAGAAACAGGGAAACCGGGTTCCCTAATAGGAAAACAGAACTGGAAGACAAACATTTGTGATAGAAACCAGTTTCCTCAAACTGGGAAATCGGTTTCTCCTTCGAAACACAAAATCTTTGCAGCTTCCAGAAGTGCTTTTCAAATAAGTTATTTTGCATGAAACAAACTTAGAAGCTTCCATAATGCATTTGAATTATATCCAACATCTAATACACCACCTTAATTCAAATGTTCAACATCCTTCATACCTA